GGCCGAATACTTTCGCAAGGCACTGTATGTCTCATCCGAAGGATGGCGCCTTTGTACAGTACAGCGTCCCCAGCACTATACTGGGGCATTAGGACCCACACAGACCAAAGGGTGAGAGGCCTCTACTGGCCTCACTAACACCTCTTTCAGCAGCAACCTTAGTTTTTCCCAGGAGGTCTCTCATCCAGGTACTGGCCAGACTCGCACCTGCTTAGCTTCAGTGGGTTGCCATTTGTGAGCTGCAGGGTGATATGGCTGCTGGCCATAGGATTCACTACTGATTTTTAAGAAATCCATAGGGTTTCATATACTTGATTTCAAATACTTGAATCATGTCCACTGATAGTACAGATATACTGTAGCTGTTGCCATTAATTTAAATCTTTTCTAGTGACAGAAAATTGCAGAGTATTTTGGTGCAGTTCAGCACAGAAATAAAGCAGCAAGCACAATGATACTTGTCTTGCAGGTCAGAACTATCAGTAATCTTGTTTCGATTTACAGCAGAGGTCAACTCACACATTACCTAGCAATCAGAACAAAAGCATGAAGACCGGCTACAAACAGACAGACTACAAATTGCTTCTGTGTGTAACCCGAGCTGGAGCTTTTCTTAACTAATTTCAGTTCAATGAAGCTTCCTCCCATGGCAAGCTAACAGGTCAAGTACATCACAGGATGTTTTCAAAATAGTACATAATGGCCCAGAACCTGATACAGGAATATGTCTCTTGCTTGACGCTTTAATTAATGCCCCTGTGGAAATATTCATTGATCTCTATATAGTTTAACAATGTATCTGAGTTTGCGTCTTTGCAGCACAGGCACATAAAATACTGCACTGTTCACCTAACTTTCTCAGAGTCACAGTGAACTAGAAAGCTCAGATGAAATCCTTTTATAAGAGGAAATTTGTTGCAATGTTCATACTATGTTATCTCATCCAGTTTGCAAGAAAAAGTATTTAACATATTTACTTTTTCACATGTTGCCGATTTTAGTTGGGATTTTGCCCTGTGGTGGTTTTGGCAATCTTGAAACCAGATAAGCCTTTGGATCTTTTCCATCCAATGTTAAGTTACCTCCCTTAGAAAAGTAATCAAACACTGCCTGAGTGAGAAAATAGAATCTGTCATCATGGAATCTATCCTACTATGGCAATAACACATCATAAAATATGTTGTTTTTTCTTCTGTTCTAGAGACAGATTTCTTGGTAAATAATCTGTTTGCCAACCAATGCTGAAAATATGCAAAGTATAAAAAATATCCACAATGAAAGAGTTTCTTTACAGAAGCTATACTAATGACACAAAGAAGGTATTACCTCTTTCGATTGTAAAACAAGCACAATAATTGAAGACGTAACTTAAAAAGCTGCATTTAGACCATTTCCCTTTTGCTATTTTATAATACATAAAATAATTATTTCCTACAGAGCAACTACAAAAAATAACCTTTGGTATTTATTCCATGTAATAGCAGATACTAACATATCTAACACAATAGTTACATTACTGTTAAAATGCTCATTTTTCTTCATTTGCATTCACTCAAAATGATTCATAAAACTATCTGAAGACTGTAAATGGCTTTTATAAGCATAGGAATAGAAAAAATAATTGCTAACACTTATATAGCTCTTTTCTGGAATATGCCACATACGCAACAGCTGAAAGTCGCCCTACAGACTTGTAAGAGGATTAATGTTTTTTATTCCAGTTTCACATGATTAATGTGTGAGTGTCAAACATCACATTTCTTATCAGTCGATTTATTAAATGTATTAAATTTTGGTCCCTCCCAGTGGTGTTCCATTTTATTGAATTATAATAACATTGACTTTTTTTTTAAAATAAGATTTTTAATCACAGCTTGAGTACTCAGATTCAACACTTATGTTATATTATGTTAGACTGGAAAGAAACACTAAACAATGCTGAATGCATAAGTATTTACTCCTATCAGTC